AGAGAGAGAGAGACTGATGCGTCAGACAGGACACATTTGCATCTCTCATTCTGCTTTATTTGCTGCAGTTTTCATCCATTTTGTTCCTGGTTTGTCAACCCACTACCTTCCTCCGCCCGCTCCTCCCCTTCTGTCCCTCCTCGGCTACCCTCCCTCCCACCCTCTCTCCTTCCCTAGCATGTACATCTTCAGGTCACGGGTCATTAAGTCAGCTCCAGAGGGGATGTGTCTGAACAGGATATCTCTCATGTTGCCCTGCCCCCCACCACACTACTAAAACACAAATACGAACCAACACATGCACGTCCATAACCAGACATGCAAACACAGATGCTTGATTTACTTTGCTTGCTGTGCTTTCTTATTTATATTTCTCTCCTTATAAAACAGACACACATTCATTATTTGCAGTCATCCATGTTAACACTTAAACGTGTTACCCTTTTAAGGTTTAGGGGAAGGAACAGATGTGGGGTCACTTGTTATGTGCAAATTTTCAGAGACTTATATTTGTCTATATCATAGACATCATAGATAACAATTTCTTCGAAAAGCTTTCACTATATGATAGTATAGGTATATTTCTGTTATAATTCTAGATTATGTCTGGATTTCTATATAAACCCCGGAGCAACCGAATACCACTTGACAAAAAGGGTCTTGAGATTTTTAGGCTATAAAACAACAACATATTTTCATAATAGTGCTTGTAAATATAATAAATTATTAATTATGTGGAGTACACAAGCACGCAGGCATCACAATTCACATCCTGCCATTGGTTTCACGCAATGCCGATTAACAGTTGGTGGTAACACGCAAAGAAAAGTAATGTACAAAGACTAGAAGCTAATAAACTTGGATGCACACATTGTAGGACTTGAAACATTTTTCTTATTCCTTTGTCAATGTTTTATTTGGAAAGAGATACACTTAACACGTTTGTATGGTCTCCAGATACACACAATGGGATTTGGAGATTAACACTAAACGTAAAATACAACAATGAATTTCTTTTTCTTAGAAGGAAACTCCACAAGGCACCCTTAAGTCAATAAAGCTGGTGTAGCCAGGTTTATCATTACTTTTTAGATATAGCTACAGTACAGTACATATAATCAAATAAAGGTTATAAGCATGGAGCACTAAAACATTTACACATAAACTGACCAACAGAAAAAATTATCTTCATGCAGATGTGACAAACACTGTCAGACTCTAGTAAATGCTTGCTTGCAAATTCATACACATTCACACACACGTACATATGTATATGCACACACACACACACACAGCACACACACACACACACACACACAAACGTCTCTACAATGGTTGTTGTGCACTGTCAAACAACATTAGATTGCAAGGCGGTGTCAGTGGGATAATTAGAATAACACATCCACTGTATTCTTCATTATGTATGTCATCTTCACTTACTGGCTGCGCTTCCTCACTGACACCACCCTCCTCCCCCAATGCCCCCCACCCCTGACACACACACTGTTACCCCACCC